AACTGAGAACTACGGCAAATACAAACTGCTGCAGGATGCTAAAGAAAGAGAGGAGTTAGAAGACCAGATTTTGAAATTGTATTTTGCAGCTTGCTGTTTAATATGGGTGAAAGAGTGGGTTATTTTAAAAATTAGACACCTATTGGAACTGAAAGAACATGACTTAAGACCTTTTGGCACAACTACTAGGATATGATCAAGTTAAAAGTTAATATAGAATTTATACTGTAGATTTATCATTTTATTAGGCATACACTGAAAATTTTGAATTGGCATAAATCAGAAGTATCTCTCCTAAAATTCCTTCATAGTTGTACCCTAAAAACCTTTTATTAGAAAGGAAATTACACTTAAAAGAAATGGTTAACTTAACTGATCTGCTAATTTTTTTCCAATGAGTATTTAAGTGAAAACCTGGAGTTGAAAGACTTTAAATGCCTTTGGAAATTGGCAAGACTTATGAACTTGAAAATACTAAGACTGATTTTAATGTTGAATTGTATACAAATGATGGTATTATTACTAAAATGTACTAACTTTTATTGAAACTTGAAACAGGATAAACAAATGAAATTCTGTATAATAAAATGGGCAAAAATGGATATAATATACAGTTGGGTCAATGAGAGAGTATGAGGAAGGAAGGGTTTAAATTTACATTAAATTATAATCCTGATTTTTTTAAAATGATGTATTCCTGATATATGACACTGGAAAATTTGTGGAATATATACAAGGGAATTTCAAATATTTATTGGAAATGAAATGAATGAAATGAAACTGAGGGTACTTTTTTTCAGCTTGGTGGACAAGCAAGAAAGATGGAAAATACCAAGACTGAGCATGTATTAAGAAGATTTTAAAAATGAAGGTATAATTTAGTTTCAATTTTTATTTGGGGTTCAGTGGATAAACAAATGGAAACATTTTATGGAAACTTACTTTATATATGATAAACAGCAGCGAAACTTTTCTATGCACGAAGATGGAACGTTTACAAATACCTATGGAGTATACAGAAAGTATGAAGAATGGATAGTGAAACTGATGGAATTTACACAGATGGCAAAGTTGACAGCTTTAAGTAAAGAATATATTAATTTTATTTCTAGTTGGAAATCACTTTTGGATTTTTTGGGGGTGACTGAAAAAATTGTTGATTTGGGGATTTGACGATTAGAATTACACAGGATTAAAGAAATAATGTAGACAAATGCTAAACTTATAATAAAAGATTTTTTCATTCATAATTGCATCAAAAAAGGCAGAAATCATTATAGTTTGCTTTAATTTTTTATAATTTAAACCTGTTTTATATTTTTAATTTTTTTATATTCACATATTTTGTGAGCCACTCAAAGTTAACATGCTGCTTTCGCATAGCATTCAATATGCTTTCTCCAAAGCATTTAACATGAGCTCAGTGAAATGTATTACATATGTGTATGGCACATAGGTAAAATTAGTCTTTGATGAACATATATGTATATGTATACATTAATATATGTTAAACATGGTGGTTAAAATAAACTAAGAATTAAAGAGAATGAAAAGAAGGGAAGTATTACTACCATGCTAAACATTCTCTGTGGTATTGGAGTTACAAGGGCAAAGATATTTGTGGAACTGGTTTTTTTTATATATTTACCATCGATAACTGCTGAAGGAATTGAATCTGGCCAGAGCAAATGTTCTGTCTGCAGTGTTTGTTATTTGTGATTAAACAATGATTGGTTTGGTGGCAGAAGAGTTTCCAGAACTTATATACCCTTGATGCTAAAACTAATGACATATTATCATCCTATATCAAGGAAGTTCTCCTACAATGATCTTTTTACTTGATTATATCCCATCTTTTGTACTGGCTCATTACAAAAGCCATAGGCTTCTAGATAGATTGGAAGTTATCTTTGTTAATGAGGGATGTTAGATCTGTCGGGTTAGAGTACTTTTAAGTCTGTAATTAAAAATAATGATCCAAATCCTAGCTTCTATATCCTGTTCCTAATTCCAGTCTTAAAACTGAGTTAGACACAGATCTAGGGACTTGCATGACTAATCTTGGATTGTATCCTCTGGGCTGCAGTTAGTGTAAGACCTCACTGGAATCCCAAATAATAGTTATCCCATAACTACTTTGCCTCAAAAAGTTTTAGTGGAGTTGGAATATAATGGCCAACTTTGCAGAAATGAAAGGACAATACATTGTGGCATTCCTCTAGACAACCTGCAATATGTGAGTCCCTGCATTCCAATCAGTGAAAAGTAATTTCTCAACAATTAAAGCATTTGACTTGTTCAGTCACTGATATACCAATTATGCTTTTGAGGACTTTTGTTAAAGAATCAATTTTCCTTTTTCACAACATTGACCAAAGGATCTTTGTATCCCTACCACAGATAATGACAGAATAACCATGTTATCAGTGGTGGGCTGTAACTGGTTTAACAACCAGTTCTGTGAGTGCGCACCTAACACGCTTGCGTGCAGTGTTCAAAATACAGCAATTTGACACTCAGCTGCTTACCTTCTAGGCTAGCCCTGTAAGTAGAACAGCTGATGCACAGAAATCACCATGCCACATGAATCAGCTGAGCCAGAAAGAAAATATAGGACAGGATAGGCTGAGGGCGGGGCCAGTTGATGGTCGGAAGTACCAGACACTAGAACCGGTTCAAACCAGCAGCAGCCCACCACTGGTTGTCATGCAGGAGAAATGAAGGATGTCTATCAGTTAATTTTAGTGGGTGAAAGTTGCCATTATTGGTGCTGTGTGAATTACAAAATAACAGGCCAACAATAGTCTAATCCTTGTGCTGTTGAAATTGAGTTGGCTTGCTGCTCTTGGGGACCAAAATTTACCCTCAAGTTGATATTGCTGTAAAGTTTATAAATTAGGAGAAGCAGTCATTTATCTATGTTGTTAGATGGTTCTTCTTCCATCTACAAAAGCTGAACAAAAGATTCAAAGCTATATTTCTCTACTAGGTGTTACAGGATTATCACCTGGTAGATCTTGCTGGTTTAAAGACAACCCAGGATATTGCATGTTGACACTACTGAAATGTCTTCATGGTCTATCTTGCCAAGCTTCTACAAAGACTCCTCTTAACAATCCCATTAGTTTCCTTTCATTGAAAGTATCAATGAATGAACCACAGATATTTAAAATATTTATATGTTCTACCATTTGAGCTATGCTCAGAAACAAGAATGATCATCTAGCTTTATGCTGATTCTTCTAAAAACATTAATAAATAGATAGTTCAAAAATATGAATATATTCGCTCATGTTCATAAAAATATAAACTTCATGAACTGTATAGGAAAAATGTTTTTGATCCTATGCCAATTTCACATGAGTAAAATGTTCATATGAGAGCTTTCAGAACTTTTTCTAAAGTCCTATCCATTTAAAACACATTATTTTCCCTAAACTGTAAACAATTAAAAGGCAAATCCTGTAATAATTCAGAAAACTAATGTACTACTATCTTGTCCTGCATATCCCTCCTCAACATTCAATTCACTTTTGAGCAGAATGCTTTTCCTGCTTAGGTTTGCATAGTTAAAACTTTGGTCCCTAAAGCCCCTACTCATTCAATTTTTGAATTTCAAAATAAAAAAAATATTATGGAGGTTTTTGTAGAATTATTATTTTTAAAGCAAAAGGGGCTATAAGACTTATATACCCAAGTCCATTTCCCACACCTAATTTATTCTGTTAAAAAGCATAATTAAAATGATCTATAACATCTGGAACTAATGATGAAGAAGAAAGAAGAAACGAAGAAGGAAAAATGCTTGTTTTAAGTTACCTTTATCTTGCTCTAATTTGATATTGATATAATTTGATAGCTCTTCTTCTAATGGAGCCAATCATAAAGTAACGTTTTTATTATATAGGATTTCACACCCGAATTTACTGTACTAAGCATACAACAGGCACCGAAGGTTTACAAAGTTATGAGTCTTCCACGCCGTTTTATCGAACTGCAGCTGGAACTCCCTTTAAATCGAGCCATCTATCTGAACACGAGTGCAACTTATAAAGTTCAAAATGCAAAAGAGCATAAGCGTTGCAGTGGAAAACGCCCTGAACGAAGTACATACATGACACATCAAAGGGTGTTGGTGCAAGGTATCGCCACTCTTTTACGGCCGTATATATACCCGCACGGACAAACCGCCGCGATCATGCGCTGCATACAGTACTGTATTGTACGCTGTGTACTGAATGGAAGGAAGCAACCCCCTTCGCCATCCCCGATACAAAAACAGCCGGCCACCACAAGCTCTGAAAATGCAAGACGCGGCGTGGAGAGCTACCACCAGTCCCACAAGCAGGGCATTTTCTGCAACTTGGGCCTCTCCTAGCCAACAGAGGAGGGTCGGGGAAAAGACAACCGGGAAAGACTCGGTGTCATGCCTGTGACACGGGCCATTCCCGCCTCAGAGCAGGAGGGACGCCGCGGGTCGCTGGCAGCCGAGCGTCCCGGGGCTCAGGGACGGAGGGTGCTGCGGTGCAGCAAAAAGGCAAGGAACGCCTTAAGGCAGCTCCTGCCAAAAGCGCTTGGGCTCTCCCTCTCCTCCCCTTCCACTGGCGGACCTCGAGCAGCCGCTGAGGGGGGAGCAGCAACCAGAGGCGACTTCGGAAGGAAAGCCAGCGAACCGCAGCCTTTTACCGCTCACTACAGCAAAGCCACCGGGAATTGGGGCGGGAGAGGCGGGGAGGGGGTGTCGTAAAGACAAGAGAAGAGCAAAATGGCGACTGCGGCGCTTCGTCCTATTCCCCCCGAATCGAGCCTCCTTCTCGGCCCTCAGAAGGGGGTGTGCGGGAGGGGGAAAAGGAATAGCTGGGGCCTCTTCGGGCTGCTCTCTTCCCCCATCCGCAGGCTCTCGCGCGCGGGAAGGATCTGGCAGAGAAGGCACACGGTTTCCCTCCCGGCCTTCTCGCTCTCGGCTCTCCAGCCCTCCACCGGCCTTTCGATTACCGTACCTTTGAATTTGAGGTCGGTGGGCGGATCGAGCACCAGAATCTGCTCGTGCTTCGCCAGCACTCCGGCGGCCGCCATCGCTGCTCACACGTTCGCTGACTCCAGGAGGAAGGAGAGGGCGGGCGGGAGGAGGGAGGGAGGGAGGACGTTCCGCTGGGGCAGGAGGGGGAGCCTTCCGAGGAGGACTTGCGGCGGCAAGGCTCGCAGCCGCCCCCTCCTCGTAGCCCCGAAAAGCAGGCGGGCGCAGAAGCGCGCGGGGTCAGCCGCTGCTTTTGCGTTGCTGTCCTCACCCTTTTCCCCCCACCCCCACCCCCGCCTCCCTTCGCTGCCCCCGGAGCAACTGACTCACTGGCTCCCCAGCGCACTGCGATCAACGCCAACTCTGGCGCGGGCACGAGGACAGCGGCCGAGGAGTTCGAGCACCCGCGCGCCAAAGCCGTGCGGGGAACCGCGCCAGGCGCGAGCCCAGACAAAACACCGACTCCGCGCGCTCCCCCCTTCCACCACCCCCTTCTCTCTCTCCCGGCTCTCGTTGGTTGACAGCTTCGCTTGTTGGGGGATCGGCGCCGCTCCGGGAACTGTCACGCGCGAGGGAACGTAAAGCCCAAAGGCAAAGAGTCAGTCGGGAGGGTTTCCTCTGCAGAGGGAGCAGCGCCTGACGACTCGGCTAACCCGAAAGGAGAAAATTTGACTCAAGGACGTTAAGCGTCGGAAGCTTCAACGTCGCCGAAAGAAAGCGGCTTGGATTGCTGAAACTCCACGCGAACAGCGCGTACCCGAATTTCCTTCAGATGCATGCTGGGAATTGTAGTCTTCAAGTAAACGGGAAAGGGGAGTTACGTTGCGCGCCCTTCGTTACCTTTGACGAATTCGGCTCTCGACTTTGGGGAGTGCTAGTCGGCTCCAGTTCTCCGGCACGGCTCAAAGGGGAAGACCCTGAACTGGGGCTGCACAAATCCAGACGACCTTTAAGTGTCGTCAAAGAAATTTGTACTGCTTATTTTGTGCCATCGAGTTGTTTTCGACTCTGAGCGACCACGTAGAAATAGTGGTAGCCTGAGATTTTGCAGTGCTGATAGCGCTCTCGTTGGTGATTAGCTTCTCAATGAAACGCAAACCAAATCTCCCTTTATGTCACACTAACATAACGCAGAAGAATCTTTGTTAACTTTAATCAAGATTTTAAAAGGGGGCATTTTTCCCACGCTAAAAGAATCGAATACAGTGTAATGTGCGTTTATCTTAGAGAAAAATTCGGATAATGAAGGCTGCATATACCTGGGCTAACACACTGTAAAGGCTAGTCGTCCCGATGCTTGCAGCCCCTGTAGCGTTGCCTCTGTTTAATACTTAACATCCTTAACATCAGTTCACAACTGACCAACTTGTTTGCTCTGCAGAATTGGTGCTCTTTGTTCTGATAAGCTTTTGACTGCTTACTTTATAAAACACTAATATAAATGAATATTAAGAGCAAAAGGTGCAAAAAGAAAAAAAAGACCTGCCTTACTCCATCCTTTCCAGAATAAGGCTCACTGCAAAGAGTGCTAAGCCACAGTTTGATTATAATATATTAAACAAACCAGAATTGGTTGGCTTTACATATTATATTAAAGCAATTGTAAACAAATTAAATTATAGCATTACAATATTCTAACTTCAGTGCTGCCTAGACTAGACTAGACTAGAATTCTTTATTGGCTAAGTGTCATTGTAACACACAAGGAATTTTGTCTTTGGTGCATATGCTCTCAGTGTACATAAAAAGGAAAAAAACACATTCATCGGGAATCGTAAGATACAACACTTAGTAATAGTCATAGGATACTGAATAATCAAATCATACTAGGAAACTAAATAAAACAATGTAAATCGTAAGATTACATTAAGATACAAGCAACAAGGTTATAGTCATAAGTGGGAGGAGATAGGTAATAGGAAGGATAAGAAGAATAATAGTAATACAGTCTTACTAAGTCGTTTGACAGTTGTGGGAATTAGTGATTTAGCAGAGTGATGGCATTTTTTAAAGTAGTGCTGCGCCATATCACAAAAGTGATGCTTAATGGCCAAAGGAATATCACATACTATTTATCTTATGATCAAGCGCTTACATTTGTCTGGGAATAGGCCACACTGAGGTGATAGTGTGATTTAATTTTAAATTAAGGTTCCAACTGTCAAAAGGGAAAGTCCAATATTTATAATGAAGGAAATGCACAGTAAAATATTGGGCCGCATGTATAACTGACCACCAATGATTGAACCCTTTCAGTTTAGCAGCCAATTTTAAAAACACGACATGAGCCGGCATCTGTCTCTGGACAAGTGTATAGATTCATACAGTTGACATGTAAACTGCCCTAACATTGATCAGATAGGAAACTGAAGATACCCAATAATTTACTGTCTGCAGATCACTCTTTCCAAAGTATGAATTAAAAACGAGGAAATGAATTAAACAAAATAATGACTTCTGGGAAGGAAAATATATTTTACAAAATGTTATCAAATCATATGCAGTCTAACGTCAAGCAGAGATTTTCATTTCAATAATAGGCAGTATTTGCAAAAATTACCAAACTGAATTGCACTCTTTAATAAATGTACCTCACAGTAATGTCAAGCTCTTGAAAGTTGACTCAGACCAAAAAGCAATCCTTTTCACAGCCACAAATCAGACAGGATCTTCCTATGAAGACTTACTGAAAAGAAAGGCTTTCAGCACTGGAATTGTCTCATTTAGGAGTGATTTCTGTAAGACAATTAATGCCTTTCATAATTTCTAATGGACTTTCTGTGAACTGTCAAGGATGGAAATCTTGTTACTGATAAGGCTGCAAGTATCTATTAACTAAACTGTCTCTTGAATCCTTTTCAACATAAGGGTCATCCCAGATCCCATCCCAGTCATACCTTGTTTGAGGTAGTCTTTAGGACTTGCATTCAGTCATGGTTAATCTAATGTTTATTTCAGAAGCAATATACAGATAGTTCTCAACTTACAGCCACAACTGAACCCCAAATTTTGTTGTTAAGTGAGACATTTAAGTGAGTTTTGCCCCATTTTATGATCTTTCTTGCTATAGTTGTTAAATGAATCACCACAGTTGATATGTCAGTGAATCTTTGCTTGAGAGGTCACAAAAGGTTATCACATGACCTTGGGCACACAGCAACAGTCATAAATATGAACCAGTTGCCAAGCATCTGAATTTGATCACATGATTATGGGGATGCTGCAAGGATTATAAGTGTGAAAAATGTTCATAAGTCACATTTTTCAGTGCCATGGTAACTTTGAATGGTCACTAAATGAACGATTATAAGTCAAGGGCTACCTGTACTGTCAAATGAATGCTACCTGTTTATAGGTCATCTTGTAGAGGACTCTTCTGAATGTATAGACATATGGTTAGGAACATCCCAGGTTTTTTATATTCCTTGGTTAGAAATTTGATGGTATCTTGGGTTCAAGGAAACTTAAATTAGATATCACTGAAAGCAGTCACATAGAAGAAATGCATTTGTGAATACATAATACAGAATGAACCAACATTTATTGTGGAAAATGCCACTTCTGTTCCTTATTTGCTTCTGCCATCAGAGTAATCAAGCATTAATGAATGTAAGCATAAAAACAGTCTTGCCACTTTGAATTATAGTTCTTAAAAGGACAGCTCCTCAGTGGTGGAAGAAACATGATTTGGGTAAGCTAGACATTATTTTAGCACAGAGTGATGTGTAAACTTAACTTCCTCTCTGTGTTTAACATTATTCCAAACTTTTGCACAAATAAGGAATTCTGATTTAGAGAACAGCTTTAGCATCATTTATTTATTTATTTGGAAAATTTGGAAAAATTATATTTGGAGGCTTCAAAACCATATCTTGTCATAATTTAAGTAAATACAATGTGAAAGATGAGTTGTGAATGGCAATTATCTAAATTCATTTTTCTCTCAGTGAAACTAAGAAGTCAAAAACCCGTTCAGGATTACATTCAAGAAGTAATGCTATACATGCTATCCTGAGCTCATGAAAAAAAAGTGATAGAAAAACCCAACAAATAAATACATTTTTAATTAATTAGCATGGATTTATTCTATATTGAATTTATTATGAATAAGTTGCATAATTGCATGCAAGCTCCTCTGTGACATATCATAGAATCATAGTGCTGGATGTGTCCTCAGAGGCCTTCTGCAATGGGATTCAGATTTTTTTACTACCAGTTCTGTGGGTGTGGCTTGTGGGCGTGGCAGGAGAAGGATACTGTAAAATCTCCAGTCAGAGATGGGATTTGCTGGTTCTCCAAACTACTCAAAATTTCCATTACCGGTTCTCCAGAACTGGTCAGAATCTGCTGAATACCACCTCAGCTTCTGCTCCAGCTCAATGCAGGAACTGCTAAAGCATTTTACACAGATGCTTATCAAGCCTCCAAAGACCTCCATTAAAGGGGAACACATCACTTCATGAGGCAATGAATTCAATTGTTTGATAGCTCTTATCTTTTAGAAATTCTGGCTAATATCTAATCTGAATCTACTTCCCTGTGGTTTCAATCTACTGGTTCTGCTCTGATCTTTGAGGCAATAGAAATCTGTCCTCACCTTTTTCTTGTATCTGTCATTTTTTTATTATTGTCCTTTTTAGACTGCAATGCCGGAACTGGATACAATATTCTAAGCGGGACCTAACCAGGGGTGGGATTCAAAATTTTTAACAACTGATTCTGTGGGCATGGCTTAGTTGGTGGGTGTGGCTTGGTGGTCATGTGACTGGGTGGACATGGCTTGGTGGTCATGTTATTGGCTGGGTGTGGCCAACTCAGTATCACTCACATTGAGGCATGCATCTCCTCGCCTGGCTTCTCATGATTGTGGGGATGCTGCAACAGTCGTAAGTGTGAAAAATGGTCATAAGTCACTTTTTTCAGTACCATTGTAACTTTGAATGGTCACTCCACACAAGCAAAGTACCAGCAAAGGAGGGGGAAAAAACTCCAGAGAAGTTCCTGAGACAGGAAGTCTAGTCCTGCCAAGAATGTAATAAAGGTTAATGAAGAGGCAGTTTCTGTAAGCAACACCAGAATGTTTCCTTCCTGCCTTCCTTACAGGATTAGGCCAGTAATTTCTTCTAACAACCGGTTCTCCGAACTGCTTAGAATATTAACAACCGGTTCTAGCGAATAGGTGCGAACTGGTAGAATCCCACCCCTGGACCTAACTCTGCAACTGGAGGAGCAGTGGGGAAAAGATTTGGAAATACAGAATTTTCTCAAAATTGCCCCAAGTTAAGAGGCTATCCAATCCTGAACTAGATGGTAGAAGAGGTAAGAGG